GTACACGCTATGACGAAAGATCACGCTGGATTTGTGAACAAGAAATGGTTCCCATCACACAAATCCGCAAATTCCTAACCATCATTGAAACGCTATACGCCAATTCCTGTGAAAGCGTGAAGATGAACAGCAAGCTCATGCTTGAGTTTACTGCATTCACTGGTGTCAGGCATGACTGACTTTCTTTTTTCCATCAAAGTTGTCACCGATATGATTATTGAAGACTCACTCACAGCCTTTAATGTCTGTGGGGTCGTAGTATTTCTAGGTCATTTGTTTACCGATGTTGAGTTTGCAGAAATCAAAGCTCTTCTTAGAGCTGTGTTCGTCGTGGTGCGATTCACAGTTGAAAATTGGGGAGTGCTACTGCAAGGCTGGATGGAAGCAGACATAAATCTCATGCTTGTTGGTGAACCGACTGGGGTAGCAGATTTATTTGTTTCCCTGGGAAGCTATGTCGGTTTCGGTGGTCTAGGAAAAGGTAATATTTTCAAACTGCAACATCTGTGACGCAGGCATGATATCAGCTTGCTATAAACGGTCAAGTCTACAACATTGCGGTGCAATCCATATTGTTGAGTCAGAAACCTGGTTGTTCCCAGCTGAAGACATTAAAAACAATTTCAGTGTTTGGCAACTGGTGTCTTTTGAATCAGTATTGCAGAAGTACATCGAGTGATTTTCGAAGGAAATAACTCACTCGATATAAATGGCAGATCACAGTCTATAAGGTACGATAGCTTGGTCACGTGTTCCATATATAAGACAAACGGATTTCCAAGGCAAAACTTTCCGCACAACCCCGAGGATGGTGTAAACTAGCCCGAGGAGGTTATACAGTGACTTGGTAAAGAAGTTTGGAAGCCATTAGCAGTGGACTCAGCTTCGCTGGCTTTTACCGTCTCCCTGGATGTGGACCCTGAGGGCAGAACTACCAAACATGGCTCAGTCGTGAGCATGCATTCAAGCTATTGCCTTCAACGCATACCTTCCCTTCTCGACCTCCCCAGTGAAACTTTCACGGGCAACCATCTATTGACGTAACAATTATATCAATGCGTAGTCATCTACTCCTATCTCCTCAAATCATTGGCGAACGAGAATATGGCAGCTAAATAAAACATCTTCATGGTTTTGGGATGAAAATGATAACGATTGTAGTGATAAGGATTGAAGTGGTTAATTCGTAAAATTCAAGTCCAGTGACTGTCATGTAGTGAAGGGGAAGAAGTGTCTACCGTCAATAATCTTTCAGGGATGCTTTCAGCACTTATAGAGTCTATCAGGCTTTTATACGAATGGGGTTATGTGATATGAGTTATAAGTGAAGATACCACGGAGAGAAATTCTGTCCACGAAAAAATGAGTAACGGAAACTTGAGGACTAGGCCTAATTAGTGCATACCCATGAAGGTCGAGCATTCTGGGATCTCCTGGACAATGAATGAGGGGGTAGGGGAGGACTTGTACTCGGGTAACTGGAGTCACTACTGCATATCGTTTGTTGGATCTTTGTGGTACGAACACATAATAGGTGCTCGAAATAATACCTAGGGTAACTGCTTCACAGGTCCCGACGTTTCAGCACGTTACAGTCTGTTTCCGCACCCTTAAGAGAGTTTGTGGGAAGCAGTCCCAGATTCACGTATGATTCCTTATCCTCTGTCTCCTTATAGAATTCAGGACTGTTTCCCGAGGAGCGATTTTACCTCCGCAGAGGAATCACGATCTCTGTGAGCTGTAGGGCAATAATGAGGTAGGGGCCAGATGGCAGTTTTGAAAGACGTTGGCTGCTCCAACGTCCGTTTGAACATTCAAATCCGGTATTCCATTGCTAACCCTTACACTAGTGGTGGCAGCACTCACCTTGGAGTATTTTTTCGCAATGCTGCTCCTTGGCTATCCGACTCGAAACATAGTAATCATCTCATAGTTGATAGTTGTAGAATAGTTTCGCATCACTTACCGATTTTCCTGGTTGATGTTTTCTGCACTAATGCAGACGAGATCATCATCAACAGTCATAAGCCAGCGATAAATACCGAGAGAATACCCTGATAAAACAGGAAGAAATCAAGAGTGCAGGTAAACCCCCGAAATTCCATGATAATTGTTGGCACCTGGAATTGAACGACCATACTTTGTACAGTGTTCTGAGAATTTGTGCGCCAGGTCCACATGATTTTATGCTACGTTTCGTGTTGAGTCCTTATTTAATAGAAAATTATTGTGTATTCGTACCAGATACATGCGACACCGGTGACAATTCAAAGTCTTGAGTTCTGGGATATGAATTCCTGTGCTAGATGATTATTTGACCGATTTGAACCATGGTGCATCATGCTTGGCGATAGGATAATGCTGTTGGAGGAGACGCTTTTGCACTCTAGTTTTTTGATTAGACTGGATTACCTGAAGTCTAGATCAGCTTTGTTTGGGCATGCAAGTCTGTATGTCATAAAGCAATTGAGCATGTTGATACATGCTCCAATGCAAGAAATACGGAAATGCACTCTCCCAACTGTGAACACAAGCTTCTGAACACGTAGTTCACGATCACCAGTTACGGAGCTAGCTACTGCAGACACCGATCGCTTATGGCAAGTCCTTTAGTTGGCGCTGACACTTGATCAGCTTAACCAGTGTATGACTTAGCAACAGCGACGAACTGTCTACAATACAGCACTAGGAAAAATACCGAACTAATTACCGGACACAGCAGCTAACCTTCCGGAAGCTGCGTGCCTTTCAGTAAGCTAAATTCGCCTCATGTCGCAAATACAGTAGGCCAGTCACATTCCAACAGCTTTCAAACGCGCAAAACTGTCTGTTCAAGGAAAAGATCATGCTGAAACTAAGGATAGTGACCGTACCTGTTAGCTTGTTCTCCTCATGTCCCCTTAGGAAACATTTGCAGTCCGCAGGGCTGTACCAATGGACGTTAAGTGCTGAATCACAGACTTCAGAAGACAGTTTACGGCATTTGATACCTACAGGTTGCACGTCAAGAACCTCAGTATCTATCTGCAATGGTGCAGGTAATCCTGCGCCAATATTTCTTCGGTGCGAAATTCTGTTTTCTGATAGTAAGTGTAGGCCAGTAACATGCTCCATTGTCCGTAAGACTAGTCTTTCCATACATGGACGCAGTGCTGTGAAGACCCTCCGCACCTCATCCACTTTGTTGACCTACGGGCTGAACACAAATAGCTGATTTTGAAGTGTAGTAAAGCCATGGATAGCATCAGAATTTCGCCTGTTTAAGTAGATGATTGGAGGTACCATGTTCGTGAAACGTCGCGTGCCCCTATACGCTCTTCTTGATTCCTGCTTAGCCGTTCCCGAATTGTCCTTTAAATAGCTGAGTCTTCACCATGGAGAACATCAGCTGTCACCTCACTGAAGACAAGACCCCATGCATCCATGAGAACTATCGTCTTACGATCAATGTGACGCTTTGAGAACAGACCTGTTCGACCTTCCAAACAACCTGACCAGTTCAAGCAATTTTCCAAGATAGAGATATCAGCAGGACGCTTGTCTTCAAATTCCACCTGGAAATAATTCGTTACTGATTACCATAAATCGTCACTTCATATGTACAAACATGGTTTTATACCAGCTGGACCTTTCATCGCCCAAATTCTTTTCAGAAAATTACAGATTCCGTTACTCGACTATTGGAGTGTTGAGGTCCACCGGGACGACGATATGAAAGTAAACGCCTTTCTCCGATCAATCTCGTCGACTTCATATTGCGACTGTAGTAGTTCATCCTAAGAATAACTCATTCTCTGTATCCAAATTCGAAGTTTCAGACTGTCATTCGTGGTTATCGACATCAGCATAATGCTGACAGCCTTGCGCCACATTCTAAATTGCCAAATACGTGAGATTCGTTCACTTACTGATGCCTCAGATTTCACAGGGAAGACCATCCGTTCGTTTGAGTTACCTGCTGAGTGTTTTCTGTGTCCGGATTGTCAAAACTGTTGCCCGAGAGGTAATGTCAGTTTCATGAAGACAGATGCTATTCTACACCGCCCCTAAATTGAAGTCGTATCCTGTGTTTATCACGGACGATCCACCAACGGATACTGGCCGTGCACTTGAACAGGACAGTTACCCCGTGATGCGTTTCTCGCAACCTTAAGAAGCAGAAGGACGGCCGTGTCCAAGCACGTTGGAAAGCCCCGCCGACCTACTGACTGACAAACTCAGTGCCGTTGGATGCGGACAGCTTCGCGCTGTCCCTTGATCTCCCCACTCGAAAAGACAAGCTAAGAATCATTCCGAGAAGTTGAAGGGTACTATTTCTTTTAGACAGACTTCCAGGCCTTAAGACCTCGAAAGAGGGGGATCATGTAGCCTTTCGCTGCGTTACGGCTGAGAGCCTCATAAAACCATCCAAAGGACAACGTTACGTCTCAGAATACGTTTCTAAACGCAATCGGAATAATGCTCAAGACCAACAACTGGCATTTTTTTCAAAATATTGGTCGATATGGGATGCAGGAAGGACTAGGAAGACCGGTCGTTTTACATGCGTCATATGAATCACGTGCATTCTGAAGACCGTTCCATCTGTTCAAATTCTGTTCCGTTCCAGTGAGGTTGTCTTTACAACTGACCGTCAAGCACGTAAAAGCACAATAGGGAGGCCCAATAAGCTGCAAACCTAAGGGGTAATTATACCACCGAAAAAAGCAAATCTGAGTAACGTGTGGGAGCAAGGCGTCATCAGCGGAGCTGATCAAACATCCCTGGCGTACCTCAATCAACGTAAACCCACTTGCAGTTTCTATCCCTACCGATTTTTGGTAACTCGTTATACACAAAGACGGTAACCGACGTGTATAAGGCATTGAAAATCGCCCTGGAAACAGTAAGTGGAACGAATTCTGCGTACAGTCGATGAGGGATGATTTTCAAAATGCCGATTCGCTTTGTCCCCAAGACCGTATCCCCGTTGGCAGCTGAAATAGATGCGTTGTTAAATTCACGATTATGATGACTTTGAACTGTTATACAATGCTGCAAAGCATATAGTAGAATCTGGCACAAAGGAACGAGGGTAGATGAAAGGGGACGAAAAGATGTGAAATGGCCTGGAGCTGACAGTCAAGCCTGAGTTGGTTGAACGTTGCCTTGGTTACCGGTAACACGACGCCTATCAGTCACTTTTGTTGAAAGAAGATCGTCGTGACAGATGGGACAAAAAAGTTGACGTCGCATCCACCGACTCAGGCATTCAATGTGATATAAATGACCACATCGCGTCATCCTGGAGGAATCCGGAGTCATATCGGCATAACAAATAGGACACGTACTTCCTCGGTTTACCAGTTCGGACTCTGATGGGCTGGCTAAACTGTGGATACGTTGGCGGAACAGCAGTTTCCAGCGAACCCACGTATAGGCACGAACGGCAGACGGATAGAGAATGAAATAAAAGTAACAGCAAATGATAAACATGCGGCACACACCGATCGAGTCATATACAGAGAGCCAACAGACGGTTAGAAACGATAACAGTGATATCATATAGTCCAACACCGAACTGATCAGTTTCGTCCAGAAGAGAGCTGGGCGGAAACCTGACCAGTCTGGTATGCGATGGGAGATCTGATAGATCACATATTCAATGAGGGTTACAATGAGCCCCAGAAGCAGTTGACAACCGCAAAGTACAATCCGCATCTGGCGTGCTTTCAGTGATTCCACAGAGGAGCCAAAACGTGGAAGTAGCGGAGCAGAAGACGTAGACGAAGCGGTGGATGTAGGTGTAGCGTTAGCCGCAACCAACTGTTCTGGAGCGTAGTTAATAATGCAAAAAGATGCGCCGATCAGGCCAAAGCAAAAGACTAAAGGACGGAGATGGTCGAACCAAGTGGAGGAATCTCCACGACCTGGCGCATCCAACCGAAGCAGCAAGGATTTAATCAAAGCTTGGACAGGATGAACACAGGTAATGGCAATCACCGTAATGCCGTAAAGACAACAGGAAACGCGCTGAGAAACAGGTAAGCTCGGGAGATCATATTGAAATGCTAGGAAAAGAAACACAACTGCACTGTTCCACCCAGTTCCAGACAACATTTCGACGGCAAGTAGGTCGTTTTGGTCCATGGCTAGTGCAGGATCCTCGATTACACTCCATTCGAGGAGGTCAACAGGCGCTTCACGAGCCGTAAGGAATAATCGTTCCAGATGTCTGCCCCTAGGATCCAGTAAGCGAACAAGAATGTTAACGACCAAAATGGCCATGGCCCCAAAGAAAGAGGCTGCACCGAAAACAATAAGCCAAGACTCGGATCCATGAACCAAGGCTCCAACAGATGCGCGTGTGAACAGAATGGAAATAGTGGTCTGGTTTTGTTCTTCTACGGCACCATAACGTCGTAATAAAGAGAGGTTTGAAACGTGTGCATCCGTTCCCTTATATCCGGTAGGGAAAATGGGCCACTGTTTAGGTCCATAAAGAATGACAGTGAACACCTTGAAAACCCAGAGGAATGCCAGAGTACGTGGTATATTTAAACGATTCCAATGGTGGCTGATAAATTCGAAAATTCCAACCATTCGATACAATTCGAGTTGCTCCGTAATTGCGCTCCGAAAACGTGAGACTACTTGTGTCAGTTTTACACACAACGAGAGTAACAAAATATTCAGAACCGGAACGCTGAAACGAGCCAGGGTGTAGACGAATTCCCTGACACGGGGATCACAGAAGTAGTTGGAACAGCGGAGTGCTGATAGTGCTGGGCAAACTGGACCACTAAACAGAAGTCCATAAGAGGGGTTGATCAGAGTACAGAGATCATATGGCAGCTCGCGACTGTAACAGTGTTGTGGTCGCAGCGAAACGACACCATAGGCGTACCATGCTGGAGATGAACAACCTGCTGAGGACCCATTTGTTCGTGAAAGGTGACAGTCGTAGTTCAGAGGTCCCGTTTTTATGAGATATGGTGCTGGTAGGTAACACACCACAGGAACTGCGGCAGCCAATGAAGAGACGAGAAACCAACGCTTGTTGGTAACTTGGTTTGGATAGGCCAATATTGACATGAGACACAGGATTATCAGACTCAGAGAGAAGCTCGACCCCAAATAAATCTCCGTGATCGAATCCATGTCTATTTGTTCCCAAGGTGCGTAGGCAAAACGTAACAACAGTACGTACGACATTAAACATGTCCATGCAATGGTCGTCCCCAGCAGTAGTGCGTGAACGGCAAACACTGCCATCGAGTGGAAAAACATGGCGGTCAAGCACAAAATGGCGACTGCAATGAAAATGCAAAAAAGGGTTACGAAATAAGCCAACAAGCTGGAATGAACAAATACTCAAAGTCAGTAATCCTCTACACCCCAAGGTGCATATTCCTTATAAAGCCTTGGTCATTACTTCTTGCATCAGTTGTGGTAAAATGTGAAATTTAATAGGGTGGCGTGTAGAAACTGCGTTACAAAAACCGGTTTTGACTTGAGTTCGTAGGGTTCAATGGCATTTTAACCCACAGTGAGCACAAAGATTAGTAATACACTAGCCCTCTCCACGAGAAAATACTGGCCCGCAACGGTGTTGTCTGCCAGCCAGTATCCAGTGTAAGACACTCAAAGCAATTATGTCTACAACAAAAGACGAACCAACTTCGGGTTTCGTACGATTACCGTCAAAACAGGACTGCTTTCTTAGTACTGTGTACGTAAACGAATGCGGTCCATACAGCACACTGAGTTCATCTGCTTTATGCCATCTAACTAGTGCCCAGTCTGATATGTTGCCTTCGTGACAGGTCCTCCGAAGTTAGATGACACACTTCGGCAGAACGACCATTGGGAGCGAGTTAGTTGGGGGAAAACAAGGCCAGGTCTCAGTAGGAGTGTCAATCGACGATAGAAAAACCCACGTACGTTAGCCACCCATTAAAGTAGGACGTGGAAAAAGTTTGGATCCCAAAGCTTTTCACCGAGCACTACGTCCAAAGTCTTTGTCAGCCAACTCAAACCCTTGTAAACAATACACAATAATGCCTATACATTTTAGGGAACAGCTACCAGTTATAGCTCACGGTATGACGGTTTATTCTGTTGTGCAGTGGAAAGTCCTGGGTAAGAGGAAAGGAATTTGTGCAGAAAGATACGCCTACACATACACCCAGAACCTTGAGGCAAAGCGAAGAAGCTACTAGCTAATTCTGGAACTGGACTGCCTTAGGAAGTTACCACTCCTCTACATACTATAAAAAATCTCTGACGAATATATACAGGGAATGAGTTTTCAAACATGCAGAAGGTCAGATCTGTTAAGTAAGTTGATCTGGGAAGGACAGTTTCCCATAAAATTGCGGTGTTACTATTGAATTTGAACGGTGCAAACTAACTGCTACACAAAACAAATCCATTTCGAACGGGATTTAATAAAATTTAACCATCGGGAGTGCTTCGAAGTGGGACTCGGCGGCAGGTCGAGTGTAGCGGCCAACTGAGGGGGAAAAATAAACTTCTATATATTAGCTCTGTAGTCGCTGAGATGAAGTGACGCTCAGCAGCGGAACTAGGCTTACATACTTCTGTCAGGGATTCAGTTAGGTTTTATTTAATAGAAAGGCTGATTGATCACGCAGCCGGTGAGGCTGGGACCATCATCAATTTCGAATGGATGAAGTAAGTGACCTATTCGGTTATCAAACCTTGAAAACCTACTTCGTTTAGCTGAATTGTGTTGACTGATTGGAACTTACTGTAAGTGATAAATATAGGGATATGACGTTCCTCGATAACTCCAGGACAGTCAGGGCAGAGAGAGGCCACAAACTTCGGCTGCCGCATGATAAACTTGGACAGGCCATCGATACGTGACGAAATTATCAACTCGAAAAGAAACCAAAATGGGACCCTGATAATTGTGTCCCCAACGCTCAGAAGCTCCGTCAGCATAGCCGAAAACAGGCGAAAACAGGGATGCCGCAGGTGAGCAGATTATGCAAAAAGTATCGCGTTTCTGACCTTCTTGGCAAACAAAATCCGATCGATCGCCTGAAAAAGTAAAACAATGACTTTCATGTTAGCATCATAATCGTTGATAGCATCGCCAACGTCGGGTAACCACGCTTTATTACCATATCAGCATAGGTCTGCGAAAGCCGCCTTATCAAAAGTAGGAAGGGAAAAGGGTTTAATGCCAACATATCAACATAAATTCACCCACGCTTACACCTCCAGTCAGAAAACTCAGGTGGGAAACGACAGTAAAAAAGGCAGTGAGCGGCTGTCAGCCATCTCTACAGTGTCACAGCCTAACAAGAGTGACGCCATATATGCCACCAGCGCCCAGCTCCCCCAACATTACCTTTGATCAAGTCGCAGATTGTTTTTGGTTGGTACAACGAGGACGATTTTATTCTGCTCCGGCGTGGTATGTGTGACAAATGACCGAGCTGCCGAATTTGGTTGTGAAAGTAACGATAAGGCGACCGAAAGTCCGCTTTGTCACCATCCAACAATGAATTCGTTGACATCAGCCACAAGAAGCCATACTTCTGACACGGAAGTTAGCAATAACCCTCAGAGCTTCCGCATGCAAACATGGTCTCGCCGTAGTAAGTACATACAGATATGGGGATCCGTTGAAACGTATTTCTAAGGTGAAATCGAGAACGCTGTTCTGGGACCCGAGGTCTTGTAAACCGATTTCATCTGTCGTTACCCTATTATATCATGACAACTGAAACGTACGCTCAATTGAAAAGTAGTTTTGCAGACCCCTTGAAGTTTGCATCATGATGCTATTGATGATAAAGTTGAACCTGAGCGATGTGAATAAGCATCTCCACCGGAAAATTTCTTTCGAGAAAATTTTTTAGGAACTTCTTGCACACAATCATATGTCCACACTCAGGCGTCAATAACGCGCGTATTCTGCTCATGAATTTCTGAGGTTCACTTTACTGAACTAAATTCTCCAGCAAAACTATTAAGCATATGAGAATTCACAGTGGAACGCTAATATCCTTGGGGACTGAATCAAAACGGAAAGCGTCGGTTCCTTGCATCTGGAAAGTTCCCAGAACTACTCATTGGGAGAGTAAACAGAAACGGACGGTATCGCCACGAGACAAAGAGTTGGTAAGCTGAGGGATACATCCATCCGCGATTAAAATATTTGCAATCGTGACATTGCCAAAGATAGGAGCGGAGGGATTCGACGAGACTCTGGGTAAGTATTAGAATGCCAATGTGCTTGATACATTGTTACACCGGTGAATCCAAGGCAGGTATAGGAGTGTGTAATACTACCAGGGAACGGTGGCTTCGTAAAGTTCAAGTATATCTTCATGAAGAGTTTGGACAGCCTCAAGATACAGCTAAAAGTTCCATTATTTGTATATAGTTGCTGAGGGCATTGGCGCCCTAGAGAAGATGTAAAGCAGTATGATCGCACTCACGCAGCTGGGTTACACTACCAACGCGAATTGTTCGACTAACTTGATCTGGATCATCATCATTATCAAAGACGGTAACATCAGTGTTGATGCTTCACTGCCGTACAACCATAAGGTTCGTCTAGTTATATATATATATATATATATATATATATTAAG